AAATAGATGGAAAAAGGAGAGAGAGAGAGAGAGAGAGAGAGAGAGAGAGAGAGAAGAGAGAAGGAGGAGAAGAGGACACAAAAGTGGAGGAAGTCAAAGCGTAGCGAGCAAACCTTTCAACGTTTCCGCGCTGATACAGGGAAGCGGGCAGTTGGCCTCGAGCGAGCTTACATCGTTTGAATTTCCGAATGGGCCGAATACAAGGAGAGAGAGAGAGAGAGAGAGAGAAAAAAAAGGAAAAAAAGAAAAAAAAGGGAAACGAGGAAACGTATCAATGCGTGTTGGTGTACGTTGGCAAGAGTGTGGATGGAAAGAGACGGAGCAGGTTGGGAAAAAGAAAATCGTCAGCGCGTTACTTTAACGAAGGATCGTTGGAGCATCGAGGACGATCGTTCATTTTGCGCGTACGCCAGCTTTTTTCTGGTGTTGGAAATTACGCAACTGCTGGTTCAGGAGGTCGATGAGGGTAGGGGGAGGGGGCGAGGAAGGGATGGTGGTGGAAAAAGTAGGGAAAAAGTAGTAGGGAGCGGTGGAACAAGCGGGAGTGGAGATAGGTCGACGTCGAGCGAAGGAAAAAGGAAGCGGGCGAGCAGGAAGGAAGCGGTGAAACTGATACAAACGCGACGATACGACGAAATAAACGGTGGAGAGAGGAGAGATCGAATACGGCGAGGTACGCGTGTATCGTGCTTTGCTCGCTCGCTTTGGGCCAGTTGGCGCGGAAAAAAACGCTTGCCGGTGACCGAGCATAAATAACTGGCCATCTCTGGGGGAGAGAAGCTTGATCGATATGTTCCGGTTATTAATAAGTAATCGTGAAATCTGTGCGATCGATCGAAAGAGAGAGCAGTGGGGTTCACGTTTACGCAGAGAATTCAATGGGTATTCAAATATTCGGAAAATTCGATGTGAAATTTTATCAACGTGAAACTCGTAAGAAGAAATGTAATTTTAGAAATATTTAATTTGTCGAAGGAATATAGTTGAAGAATGCGAATCCGTCTGACACGCCGGACACGGAATTAATTAGACTTTAAGTTGATCGGCTTAAGACTGAGAAGTTAACTGTGAAGTTGACTGCCCGAGATCTTCACCGGTTCCCGTTTTTATCTATGTTATACGTTAGATTGAGAAAAGCCTGAAAATTTGTTTCCCCGGGTTTGATTAAGTGCCTCCTTAAATCACTTCTTTTTTTCCTCCTCCCTTTCCCCCTTCCCCTCTAACTAGCATGCTCTCGAGAAAAGACAAAAGAGTCACGAAACTTTTAGTATCCGCATCTTTCTAGAGCCATCAAGTTTATAAATCTAGGTAATTAACTCTGGAGGAAGAAGTGTCCGGTTCTATCAAGCAAATGCCTTAAGGGGGCGAACTTTCCTTACAGATCTTTGAACATTGTTTAAGAAATATTTCCTTCCGGTAAAACATTCGCTATTGTTTTTTTGCTTAATTATACACTTCATTTAACCTTTTGACGAGATTCTCGCAAATCTCTTCCCTTCGATGTATATATA